AAAAATATACTGGTGATATGGGTAGGGAGGGGGTGGTGATCCCACCCAGAGGAGGTACATTCTCGACCCCAGAGGGGGCGCTCCTTTTGGTCAGCACCAAGAATCACGACCTCTGGCCTGACCCGGGTTTCTGAGCATGTGCAGAGTTTTCGTTTGGTATTCTCAGCCAATCAGATTTGTCACATTTGATGGAAAGTCTGTGAATCGAGGACTTCCGGTGTTGGACCAGCCCAGACGCAATTCTTGGTGCTGACCAAAAGGAGCGTGGCCTCTGAGGACAAGAATGGAGGAGGAAGAAAGGCATGTACAGGTGTATATCACCGGCTAAATACATCTACATGTAAGATATTAAGAGAAAATATTTCTATCTCTGGAAACCTGCCTCTCAGTAAAGTAGCACATGTTCCTTTGTACACTCCTCTGATTCCACTTTGCTTGTAAAGTTTCTTCACCACATCGGCTGGGCCAGCATATTTCTTCTCCGCTCCAGAAGCTTGTTGGATCTAAGAAGAGGACAGGGAAATGAATCAGAATGTTATACTCTTGTACATATCCTCTCAACTACATCAACTTTACTATTCCTTTTCAATTTTAAGGGTTACAGTACAACTAGACATAAGTGTTCCTCATTTTGTAATCATGTGGGACATCCTTTGACTCTCAAAAGGGGAAGGAAATAACTGTAGGCAAACAATTTTTGGCTTGAGAAGAATGATGCAGTATATGAATTTTAAGACACTCTCAGAGTTAACTATTAGTGGAGAAAGAGTCACAAGATGTGAAACACCAGACCACCCCTCCCTAAATTATATAATGCTACTCACCTGTAAAATACACTTGATTCTTTCTCCTGGAGCCATAATAGCTGTTGTACAAACTCCAGCAAAAAAGCCTGATGTCAAGATTTGAAAATACCTGAAATATAACAAATTCAGGCATAGTCTAAATATAGTTTTTCAACCTATTTTTGTAAGATAGTTGTGTGTTGGTATGTTGGTCCATTGGTATGCAGATTGCAAAATTGTGTTAAGTAGTGAACTTTTCAGGAGTTTGCCAGCTAGGAGTTGTCACTTAATGGCATCTCTGTTTTTGATCACTTCAACCTCAAAATTTTACTTCTTATTTATTTCATCAATGACACATTACATGCTACTAGCAACGAATTGGGCTGTGACTAAATTTTTAATTAAGTCTACGATTGATTAATATTTTAACTCTACATTCAGTTAATAATATTTCCTAGTAATCTTACGTTGGTTCATCATGAGGGTTCTTGAGCTGTAATTTTTTACCGGTGTTAAATCCCCAGAAACAGATTGCAAATATTGGTGCCACACCCACAACTGGAGCAGCCAATCCTTTATACAAACCAAGAATTCCCTGCAAATGATTTGAGAATATTTAACGATTTTTAAATTACACTCTCATCTGTAAGCCTACATGTAGTTCCTCCCACCCCCGCCTAATTGAATACAGTGCGAACCCAGATCACTCCCCCCTGAAAATGTTATGTACAAAACAGAATAAAGTCAAAACGTTCCACAATGGCCACCTTAGCTGTTATGGGGTGGCAGGGGTGTAATGATCACATTTGCTTTGCTTTGTTTTGTATTTTGAGTGTTTCTTTTCTGTTTGTTTTTACCCTTTTTGGGGGCTGCCTAAATTTTGGATTTATAAAATGCATATTGTAGCATGTAAATATTGTATGTTTATGTAATCAAAATATCAATTGAACAGAAACCATACAGACACAGGGGTCAACGACACATGGTATGGATCAAGTTTTGTGAACCATTAGAATAGAAAATGGGGTTTTGTATGCACATGTACACCAGCCTGTCAGTCATTTATTAACTGGCCATTGTTGAAAGGTCATTTTGGCAGTTAGAATGCAATGTGGAGATGTGGTCATTGTAGAGAACGTATGGACTGTCCACCAGGACAAAACAGTGGCAGTGGTCATTGGTGGAAGTTTGACAGTAATATGTGTGGTGGCAGGAAATACTATCCATACCTACCCACAGAAAGGTTGTCAGAAATTTCAGGAGAGAAGATAGTTTAAAACGCTGTTTATGGAAAGTATCATTTCAACTTTTTCTTAACAGAGACCACACTTTTCTAAGTTAGTTCTGAGAATATTGTTACTCCTTGAGAATGCATCAACATTGTTGGGAGATTTCAGCCAGTGATTATCATATGAACTTTGGGTGTATGGTTATACAGATGACATGAGACAGAGGACAAGCCTGCTAACAAGCTCTCAGAGCTTCAAGAATTGCTACGAGAGCCTGCTCGCAGAGTAACAGAGGAAACATATTTCTTTTTTGTTGTTTTTTTTAGGAGAAATCATTTTTGTGACCTTATACTTCTTTTGAATCTCACCTCTTTCCTAACTGTCTTCAAGGCACAGTCAAGTGTTCCAGAGAACATTGGCTTCTGTCCTGGTTCAGGTTGAGGCATAGTTTGAAGGCGAACCTGAGAATAATTAACAAACAGAAGAAACTCCATAAACATTTTGTACTGTGATGGTCAACTGGCTGCTTACAACATTACAAAATAAACAAAAATATAATTATATCACTGGTCAGTGTCGACCAGCCTGAACAGCTCTGAAGGTGCAATGAAGTGACGTTAACAACGCATAAAATGTCAGCACCATTTTCAAGAAATCTCAATTGAATATTTGCTCCCTTGAATAGAGTGCACAATGTTTCAAATCTGCAGAATATAATTTTCTTCTCTTATTCCAGAAATTTTAAACAATTTTAAGACTTATCTTACTAAATTTGGAAGTGAAATTATTGAATACATAATTTATATAGATCGTTTTCATGTGACATCATCATTTTCTAAAATCAAAAACTAAAGAGCCACCAAAGTTTTTATCCCCATCAGGTATAAGAGGGGGTAAATTTACATGTATATCTGTTTACAATGTTACAGCTCAATAGTGTGCTTCGTTTGAAAAACAGCGTATTTTGAATTTCAGGGTTATGGCGGCATGCGACACAAAGCTACAATCACATTTGTCAAAAAATATATACCTATCTCATGATGTTTAGCTTTTTTAAAAGTTAGATCATTAGGAAAAGTGCTTATGTAAATGTTTGTATGTTCAGTACAGATAATCAGTCACCTAGATAGTCAAAGTAAGTTCCAGATGTTTACCCTATTTTCCGGCTGCCATATTGGTGCACCACAGAGGTGCACCAACATGGCATTTCCATACTGGGCTCTGTAAATTTCTGCGAAACATTTCGACAAATATCTGCAGTCTGGGAAAATGCACAAACCTAAAGCTTGGAGAAGTGTCTTCTCTATCTACTTCCTATAAGGTCACAATTTCTTGACTTAATCCACTGAATGATTTTTGATTCATTCTTTTATTGTGTGACAGTGAAAACGATCTATTATAATGAATAATTATAAATGAAAAAGAAAAATTACAAAGAAAGAAGAAACTCCATAAATAAACATTTTATCCAGTGAGGCTCAATGGGTTGCTTACAGCATAACAAAATCAACACAAACAAGATAATAAATATCAGTAGTGTCACGTTACATCACGTTCTAAATAACCAGCCTGAAGAGTCTGAATGGGCACTATGGAGGTCTGGGCTAGCGTGACAACAACAACACGTTTTCAAGAAATCTCAACTGAATATAAGCTCTCTTGCATAGAGTTGCAGTGTTTCAAAACTTCTGCTCTTATTCCGTAAATCTGTGAAATTTTAACTGGGTAAAAAAATTTTAAGACTTAACTTAATTGAAACTGAAATTCTTGAATACATTATTTACATAAGCTTAATTGATAAGGAATAATTATAAATCGACATCTATAAGCTTGATATTTGAAAAAATAACAGTAGTCAAGTATTTCCGGACTGTCTTAACTACAATCTTTGCTGTCTTCTAATGTTTGAGTCCCTTACAGCTTGAGTTTTTGGTTGCAAACCTTAGCGATTTTGCAATCGTGTCAAACAGTACAAGTTTGATGGACTTTGGCCTTTGCCAAAAATAAAGCTAAAACCAGAACTTCTTCGTGAATTCTGATTTAAAGATAAACAAAAATATAAACAAGGCATTTCCATTATAGCCGAAAACGCGATTTCGCGAAAGCTACATACAGAAATTTTTAAGCAGACAGATTTTCTTCCATCCACGTCACGAAAGAGTGTATTTGACATGTACATTTCTTCAAAATATCTACCTTAATTGTGTCCAAGGGATGGCCAGATACTACGCAACATATTCCACCAAATCCTCCAGCAAGGAAGTTCTTGATCCCAGAGGTACTTCTGGTTTGCTTCTTTGGGGATTCCACTACTGCAAGCTCTTGTTCAGCCATGTTAAATTCGTGCACCGGTTGTAAGGATCTACTGCAAGTAATTTTACGATGCGCGCCGTCATGAAGTGGGAACGCAGGGACTGGGTTTGACTCTCGTACCCAGATCCTATTGACGCAAACGTTCCCGAATCCTGTTTTACCGATCCTAAGGGAACAAAGAAATCCTCTCATCAAATCAATTAAATAGAAGCTATGTAATGCTGCAATCTGATTGGCTGAGCCATCGCGCACTATCGGCTATTTGTGTGCAGTAGCTAAATCGATCCGGCTAAATGGCAACCTTCTCGTTTCTCCGAGAAGACTGAAAGAACGATATTCACGGTTTCTTGAATTAAAAAAGACTGTTGAAAGAAACTGATAAACGTGCGTACACAATTACAAATTTCAAATGCCAACTCAAGCCACGCAAGGCTCCTGTGGGAGGTCGTCCCACAGGTGGCCCAGATATTCCACGAGCGCGCGTTGAAGCGCCCAGCGCCGAGTTGGCTTTAATCATCTCATATCCAACAAGCGCGAGTGGAATAACGCCTCCAAAATATGGAAAACTAATATGCAATACAAGTAAAAACGCCCAAGAAAATTTCGCGTACGCTAACCATATTTGCGGAACATGGTATAATGACTCATATACCATGATAGCTAAGCCAATGAAAATTCTTGAACTGCGTTATTCAATTTATTCCAGTTTTTAAGCAGACATTATATGAGAATGTTTCAAAAATTGATCCAAATGCTACGTTTGTCTATAATCTGTGCACTTAGTCATGTGACGACTGGATTCATTCATTATTGATCTGAGGGGTTGGCACTTTGACTTGGTTAGGGTATGTGCTTCATATATGATAATTATTATGTATCATAGTTCTTCACATTATAGTCCACCCAGCTACCTCTGTACCGTAGCAGAAGTAGCTGGGTACATTATGTATAGAAGCACGATTCATATACATGATTATCATATATCAAGTAAGTACCGGTTAGGTCACTAGCAGCTGTTCAGGAAAGCTGCCCGCGCTTCAGCTGCTTATTCCAGAAGGGAGAATCATATCGCTTCAAAAGCAAGTCTCTGATGGTTTCAACCCGGTCTGCGCGGAAGGGAAGGTCTTTTTTTAAGATCAGTACTCGAACTCACACGTAAATTTCTCTTCTTTATTCTTAAGAATAAAAACTTCAGCCCTGACCGGTAATTTTCCATCTCATCATCCTGCATTTGGAGTATCAGACATGATCTCTGCGATAAGTAGGAAGCTATGAACATAAAAACTGTACAACTTCTTTACTGCATGAGCAGTCGTATGTTCCATTTTCAACTCGTGTTCATTATTATAGCCAGTAAGTGAGAGAGCTTTCCAAGCGGATTTAATCTCTCGCGCCGAGATTCATCTAAAAGTTGATAGCTTTTCCTGCATACGCTGCGATGTTAGCTTCTCGGAACGCTTCTGAGACCGTCTGAAACGTAATAAAACGAGAAAAGATTATTAAAACTTGCGTGAAGTTTCCAACTTTAATATGAAAACAGATCTTGATTAACCTCGCAATATCTGACCAGTTGTAGGTGACGTGACTGTTTTCCCACACAAAAAAATAGTTTTTCATGTTCGAAAATTAATAGTCACCGTTGGTTGACACGAAGAAAGGGTTACACCTAACCTACCGGGGATTGAATACGTTTAGAGGACTCAGTCACGCAAACGTCACGCTATCCCACCCTGGTCGCATTAATGTCACGCTATTCCACAAATGGGTAAGTCACGCTATTGTATGTCTTCTTTCACAACCCTCTGCTGGTTTCAATTGTTCTAAAAATTCGAATTACCTTCAATTCCACAGTTATAAAACGATTATCTATTAAAACAAAACTCGTACCGGGTGAGCGTGACACACACGCGCGATGTCCTCGCTAGATGCCCCATACTCCATTGCAAGCGCAGCCTCGTTGATCATTTCTCCAGCAGCTGGTGCGACCATATGACATCCCAGCAGTCGGTCAGTCTCCTTATCACTCAATATTTTCACCAGCCCGTCAATTTCGGCGTTCGTTCGTGCTCGACTGTTAGCGGAGAGAGGAAACTTTCCAATCTTGTAGGCCACGCCCTAGAAATACACAAAGGAACTGATTTCAGTTCGGCTGAGGAAGATTTCAACTGACGCGTATTTTTATAGGTGCGTACATACGGATTAAACTGGCTTTAACTACGTCTGAAAAAACAAAACAAAACAAAACAAAACAAAACACAAGGACGGCTCACATTTGAGGAAAGAGCTGAATAATCTTGAAGAATACCACTTTATATAACATGCACCTTTGGCAACACTCACTCACTCATTCTCGTCGTTCCAGCTGGGAAATAAGGCCATAATAACCTTTGGCAACAAGTAAACTGTTGTTAGCTTACTGTGTTAATGATTGGTGTACTTCACATTGACAAACCCATTGTCGTAAGCTTGTGCGAGGCAGGCGAGTTCGCTACTTTAAGTTACATCTGTTCGGTGAAGCCGAGGAGTTGAAGTATGTACTACCGTGTTTACAATTCGTCAGAAAGCCGAAAAAATCAGCAACTTAAAACCGCCCTCACCAAACAGCCCCCACACCTTTTTTTTTCACTCTATTCAGTTACCTCCTCTTTAAGCATTTCTTCTGTCTTTCCAACCCATGCTACCTCCGGGTGAGTGTAAATCACGTTAGGAACACAGTTGTAATCAATATGTACCGCACCTCCAGCAATGCCCTCTACACAGATTATACCTGAAGGGAATTATACGCAACAATGTTAAATCCATAGGAAGAAAGATTTCTAAACCAGCCCTTTAATCAAGTAGATATTTGTTGGTATCCTTTTGCCGACATAAATTAGGTAAATAACACTGGACAAACCTTCGTCCTCAGCTTTGTGCGCCAACATTGGTCCATGAATACAGTCACCGATGGCGTAAATACTGAAAAGAATACAACATGATAGAGTTAGAGCGATTTCAATTAAGTGTCGTAAAACCAAAACCAAAGTAATTCTAGCCAATCACAAACAACGTAGAAAATCCAGTGAACCAATCAAAACTCGAAGCAAATACATGTAGCTGACGCAAAGCGCAGGAAAACGTGTGCGGAAGCGTCAAGATTAGCTTTGGTTTTACTTCTGATTGGACGAAAAAGTGGCGCGAGTTTTCTAAGCCAATCGTGTGGCGTAATAATGCAAAGCCAATTACTTTTCAACACTCAAGTAAAATTGTACCAAAACATTTGAAAAATTTTAAAGTTCTCAATATAAATCAGCTACTACTGTAGTTCACCGCGCATTTCAGAACTGAGCGAAGAAGGTTTACTACATGTGGCCAGTTCCAACTAAGAAGAAACCTGTAAACATTGCGACGAAATAACGCCCCGTCCACACTACGCCGGAGGAATTTGAAAACAGACGGTTTCCCTCTGAAAACGCATCAAATGTTTACCGTCCACATTACGCCGGAGGAATTTGAAAAAGGTTTCACCCTGACAACGTATCAAATGTTTTCCGTCCACACTACAGCGGAGGAATTTGAAAAAGGAGGTTTCACCCTGAAAACGCATCAAATGTTTACCGTCCACATTACGCTGGAGGAATTCGAAAAAGGTTTCACCCTGACAACGTATCAAATGTTTTCCGTCCACACTACAGCGGAGGAATTTGAAAAAGGAGGTTTCACTCTGACAACGTATCAAATGTTTACCGTCCACACTACGCCGGAGAAATTTGAAAAAGGAGGCTTCACTCGGAAAGCGCATCTCATGTTTTCCGTCCAAACTACGGTGGAGGAATTTAAAAACGCAACAATCACCGGCCATTTTGGATTTGTGTTTGAGGAAAACTTGGTCAGAGAAATCACATGATTATCGTGGCGCCATCGTTTTTGAAAAGGACCGAAAAGCTCTGTTTGGTGGGTGTTTTCAAATTCCTCCGGTTTGAAGAGCGTTTTCGAGAAGCTTCGTTTTCGTGTCGGGTTAGTGTGGATAACCGTAGAAGCTGCGTTTTCAAATTCTTTCGGCGTAGAGTGGATGCTGCCTAAAGCACGAATAGGAAAGAGACAAGCCTTACCTAGGGACGCTGGTTTGGAATCTTTCATTGACAACAACTCGGCCACGAGGATCAAGTGGAATACCAACTTTCTACAACAAACAAATGAGTTCACATTCATTGCCTGTATTCTCTTGCAATGCCTTCTGCCAGCCTCATAGCTGATACGTACTGAAACTTTCTACAAAATATCTACAGGTAAACTAAGAACTTTTAAATCATACTTATCAACGTCGCGCACAATCACCTCGATAGTACATGCAATGTCATATTTGGGAATAACGNCATGAATGACTTTGTTAATTAAACAGTTATCAATGTCAAAGGAGCAGAGTCAAGGTATTTTGAGTTATTTTGGACACGTACAAAGTTACCTTTCAATTGAAGGAAACCTGAAAATAGCAGTTTATTTAAAGATAGAACAACACCAAAAAGATAATAATAAGAATCTGATGTTTCAATCATTCATCAACAAATTTAAGTACAGTTGAAGGGTCAGACATGATATCAAAGATATCATCACAGTGAAATTATCATAATAGTTATAATAAATAAGTTACACGTGTTCAAATACAGCTTTCGTCAGGGCTTGAAATCCTTGTAAAACACTGCAGTTTACATAATAAATGAACTTACGAGACTTCCATGTCAATGCCTAGCCCACCGATATGACCCAAGAATTCAATAGCAGTGACTTGTGAGCCCAGTCTAGACCACACAGAACCCTGTAAAATAACAACAACAATGAACAACTGGCAAAACCAGTACAGATCTGACAACCTATACTCAGTTAGGCATACAAAATAGGCCATTTTCAAGTTGCTTTTGGTTAGTTTTTCCTGTTTCAAAATGTGTCTTTGAGTGCTTAACTTTCAAAGCAAATGAGTTTGACTTCCATGAAAATGATTGTGCAGGTGAAGCGCATTTATTTAAGGGTTTTGTACTAATGTTCGTTTTGACAACAGGGGAAAAGGCCACTCAGAAATGTTTTTATTTTGCATATGTTCCGTACTTTCTCATAATCACTTTACAGTGAACAGCTGTCAGACTGCTTGTCAAGACCTGCATTACCATCAAGAGATTTTACATCAGTCTCAGAGTGTAGTAATGCGAAATCAAGGCAAATGCAAATGCCTTTTGACACTCAACTGAAAACTGCTCTGATGGTGACAAACTTACCAATTCAACACCAATCACTCCTGCTCCTATAAGAATCATTTTTTCTGGGACTCTATTGAGGGAGAGTGCACCAGTCGAAGAAATTATCACTTTTTCATCAATCTGTGGAAGAGTCCAAATGAAAACAAAGAATTAAAGATGTCAGTCCCACAATGGTCTTGTTCTACAGCCACCTGTTAATAATCCCTGCCAATTCCACCTCTGAATTGACAAAGTACTCTCCTTCTTAAGGGAGAGATGGCTTGCTGTAGCCTAAAGTTTAACAGCAATATTTAATGTCCAACTGAACTAGCTTTAAACGCTACATACTGCATTAAAACCCACCAATAAGACAGCACATCCTAAAAAGCTATGCTTTAATAGGAACACAGTTCTAACTAGCATGAGCTGTTCACATAATGATGGCAGGAACAAAGATAACAAGAAGATAATCAAAATAAATGAGTGATTTCCCTTTCTTTTATACCTTTCTAAGCAAAAAAAGAACACACACTTTTTCTGTGTTTCTAACGAGTTGAATTATAGCCTGAAACAACTGTGAAAGTTTGAGAGAACTTGAAAAAGCCTGTGGTTTGTATTCCCTGTGGCCTGCAGCTCTTGTTCCCACAGTTTTTCTTGTCTCCTAAACTTCCACTCATGTTTCTATTACTCAAAAGAAACACAGAAAATATTTTTTATCATTCAAAGGCATTATTAAACTCATTATTGCATCTTATCTTGAAAATCAAGTAAATCTCATAAAAGGATGGTTTGCAAGTGGACAACAGAAAAACACTAAACAAGTAATTAATACTTCTATTCAGAAAAGGACTAACTGTGACATCAATTGAATATAATTATTACTCAATCCAATTCAAAGAATTCAAGAATGGCATGTTTCTCACCTTTAAAAAAAAAACACACAAAGCAGAAGCCCTAAGGGAATGGGCAACCATGCTCTGTATCATGACTTTTAGTAAATTAGAATATTATTACTATTATTACTATTACTTGGGTTCATGGTTTGCTGCATAAAATTGAATTATGTTAATTTCCCACCTCAGTTCCAGGGAAAGGTGTCACTTCTGATCCAGTGGCGATCAAGATATTTTTGGTCTGTATTACTTCTGAACTTCCATCCTCCTTATGTACTGTAACCTTGACAACAAAACCAACCAAACAACAGCTTACTTCCAAGCTACTAAATAAATGCTAACCAGATATAGTTGTAATTTGAAGGAAAGTTCTTGGAGAAGCCATATGGCTGACTGGTGTAGAAACTCTATTTTGCAGGTTACTGTAGGCCATCCAGTAACTAGAAAGTGTAAGTGAGAATTAATGGACGGTCTAATATGGGTCGCTGGTCTATTGTTAGCTGATCTATTGTTAGGTTACTGTTAGTACTGTAAGTTATTGTAACAAATTTTGTTGCATTACTGCACCCTTCTTTGACTCGTATGTATCCACATGATATATAAGTAAATGATCAGCTGTAAAAATAGTCATAAGAACAATTTAATTAATTTGTCCCACCTCATTTGGTCCAGAAATTGATCCATGTCCACTAACTTGGGTTACCTGGAGAGTAACACATACCTTAAATAATAGATTGTTTTATATTTGTTTATTTATTTACAGTGTCCCCAATTAGCACATTTAATAGCACTAAATACATTTGACACTTAAATAAAGTTATTATCATTATTATTATTGACAACACTTTGAGAACAACTGCTCGAGATAGTTCATGGAAAACTCAGAAAAGGCATCAAAAAGGTCATGGAAAGTATGAATTTTAAAGGCTCAAAAGTGAAGGAAGTATTCAGAAGGTGAAGGAAACTATGAATAACTGTAGATACATGTAACCTCTCAAGTGAAGGAGCTGAATGGGCCTTTCCTGGATAAAATTTGCAAATTAAGCCAGGTACACCGTACCAAATTATGATGTACCAATAAAATTAATCACCTTGTTCTGTTTAAACAAGTGTGCTATTCCATTTGTCAGTGTCTTCACTGCTGTTGATTTCTGTTCCATCATTTTTTCTAGATTTAGTTTTACTTCACCCACTGAAAATTAAGGTACATATAATCTATCAAACCCTAGCCATAAGTTATATAACAACATATTGATAACAATCTGAAGCCAAAACATTAGTATCCAGGGAAAACTAGTAAAACCACTCAACACAGGTTGCTTTCTGTGCCAGCAAACAATTATCTGGTATCAATTTTTTTTTTTAAGAAATGGGTTTAGAAAAGAGATAAGCAATGTGAAAACACATTAATTTGTCCCTAGTTCAAATCGCACATCAAAAACAGACTCAAACTCAATCCCATCTTAGTAAGCAGTCGCAATAATTACTTAAACTGTATCATTTGATTTCTCTGATAGAGGTTCTAATAAAGAAATGTATGTTTAATATCTAATTGTACATTACTGTAATTTTAATGGTTATTAATAATGTCGCATCCATCTTTACTCACCATCTATTCCTCTGTTTTTAAAATCAGCTGAAACAGCTTGATGGTACAAATGTGAGTTGTTCAATAATGCCTATAAAGGATAATCAAATCACTGTGATTTAATTAAACAATGTATGTATCTTTCTTTTGCATGTCAAACTCCAGTTATGTAAATAATGTTAGTCCTCTAAAGTGTGAAGAACATCTTTTCAGATGTACCCCATGTTTGTCAAATACAGTCAGTGACACTTAACACAGTTAAAAATAATATCAACATTGTAATAATGTATTATTTGTTGTTTGTTTGGGTCTCCTTTCAACTTTATTTCAACATCATGCTCAGCAATGACGTTTAATTTAATGAGTAAAGGAAAGTATATCATACTTCTATGATATACAGGTATACAACACTTCTCTTTGATTTTTTTTCAACCCACCTTCGATGGAATACATCCAACATTTAAGCATGTTCCTCCTAGTGA